GTGAAAATTAGCACCGCGAAAGTAACCGCAACAGCAGTGCTTGCAAAGACAAACCGGAACCTGTTGTAGCCCACGATGAAATAGATTGAGGACAAGAGAATCGAAGTGGTCCAAACCAAACATGAGATAAACAAAGCTCTTGTTGGGTTCAGTTTGCTTCGGTAATGCAAAGGATATGTGATAGCAACGTATCGATCCAACGCCAAGGCTGTTAGGCTGAGCAGAGAGGCAGAACAGGAAATGAAGTAGCATACATGCATCCACCGCCGGAATCCTTGCAAATTCTCCACACGTTTTAGCCCTTCGGAGATTAGGTATATGGTACCCATTGGTGCGGTGACAAGCCCCACAATAAGATCTGCCAGTCCCAGATTGGCAACGAAGAAGCTGAATGGCGAACGCAGGTCTCTGTTGGGATCTAGGAGAACGGCGACCACCACTAAAAAGTTGCCTACAATAGCGACAATTGATGATAATATTGTCGTCGAAGCCGAGGTGAATGATAAATAAGTTGGAGCTGAGATATTATTGCACGGATACAAACCCAAAAGGGACATTCTGTGGAGATAAACGGCTGTGTTATGATTCAATAACAAGACCAAACAGTACTCAAGTTGCTTATTTCCGCATGGTGCTGATTCCGTACAAAACAAAAAAAATATTCGTCTCTCTAGAGGTCGTGTGAAATGTCTCTCCGTCACGCAACATCAATTATTAGTCATTCAATAGAATTCATGAGAACTATTGAAACCTCCATCGCAACTATCGATTTTCATAAAGGAAGATATTGAAAATAGCAATTTTGATATGCAAGGAATTTCAAATAGCCATTAAAGCACCAGTTTCGCATGAACTATCCTTAGTTTCGAAACAGCATCATGCTTCAACCAACCGATTTTCAACCGATTTTCAATTTTTTCGTTTTAAATTTGGCACGTTATCACCTTAAAATTATTTGCACTATTAACAAGGATATTGATAGAATACTCGGCATGTTGCTTATTGATGGAACTCAAACAAACCATTTTAAATCCTGGGACAGCTCATTTCCCAAACTCTGACTGAAAAATTAGTAATTGTTGACCACATTAAGCCGCTTGGAGCTAATTTTAGAACTGTACTTCTACATCTAATGCTTCAATGATCTTTAGTATCAAACCATAAAATGGGATAGCAATGTACATCTATTCAATCAGGTGATTTATTACACGTCGTGAAAGTGAGAATTTTACTGAAATAACTTCTTTCAAGACGACATTGCCCGTCAGTAGGAAAATTTTCATCATTAAATTAAGAACACGCAAGGCAAAGATAGGGATTCAGTTTCTCTATAGATCTAGGACATTAACAGTCCACAAGAGAGAAACCTCTCAGGGGCGTAGCCAGGATTTTTCAAAGAAGGGGGGCTCACTGTTTTAAACAGAGAGTACCTATCAGATTTTAATGTCGACCTCCATGCCATGTTTTCTTTAATGTGACAATGAAAGGCTTACAACAAGGGGGTCAGTGGAACCCCTGGTTTCCCCTTCTACCCTTGGTACCCCCTTGACTCTTAAACTAGCAAAGATTATGATACATTTTTTTCGGACAGAATTTTCGGATATACGTCAGTGTCTGAGTGACAAGGCACCCACCCCTCCTCTTACTCAATGTTAACCCTAAATTGTTATCAGCTGACTGTTATTGGTTTAGGGGAGGGGTAAGAGCGCAGTTGCTCAGAAACTGACATTGATCTCAATTTTCATTGAACTTTGCTATTTTTAAATTGAACCTTTCTCCTCTGTCGTTAGCAAAGCTACAACTGTCATAGAATGCTACCTTTAAGTTTCAAACTGAGTGATTTTCCGGAACGGGAAGAAGTATTTGAAAAATAGACTCTCCTCATTTAAAAGTTACATGGGATTCCTCTATGAATTACAAGTAAAACAATCCCAACCCAGACACCGGACAGACATGAATCCCTCTTGAAACACTAAAACTCTCTAATTACCCGTTTTTGTTAACATCTATCGATTTAAATTAGATGTCATCTCAAACTGAGCTTCATCGCGTGCTTGTCACAAAATCTTCTTTCTGTCTACCCAAGAGAAACTTGTTTCAAGTCTCTATTAACAACGCGAAACCAAGCTTTATATCGTCATGGCGTTAGGTTATTTTTGCTCCTCACTCACCCCAACGTAACAATCTAAGCAACTTATGGGGCGACAATAGATAACTTGCAAGTCAGTCAAACTCTTATTTTAGCTACTTTCTGCCTGGTTAAAGTGCACTTTAAGCTCTAAGGCTGTGTAGAGAAGCTGTCATTGAACGGAAGCAGAAGACGTTTTGAGGGTATTCAACAGGTAGCAATTTCTCGTATAATTCGATTACTCTGAGACCTGTTTTTGAGCACGAGTTCGCCGCTGAGCAGGAGACCCTGTCAATATCTTAATCTCGGGTTACACGTTGTTAAAGTAGCTAAGCCGGGATTATATCTGATTCTGCTTTTGACTCCCAAGCTCTGGAATCCACAGGATAACATCAAGTAAATCTTCATTTTCATACGAATGAGGATCTACTGTTAAACTAAACATACATGTAATGAAAAGATATTCGATTTTGTTTGGGGATTGGTCAATTTGAAGGCGGAGATTCCTATTCGATCTAATCTATTTTTTAATAGAAACTTATTATATATAGCAATCGAATTCAAGGAAATACAGGCATTTCACATCCATTTTGATTATAGTTTTCATCTTAAAAAAGAGAGAAATGATTTTGTAAAAGTATACAATAAAAATATCTACCTTGAGATCAAAAGGATCTTTTCTGTGATCCTCTATCCTTCCACAGTTACAGGCACTGACACTGGTGATACTACTTGAGTGAGGCTTACATGGATTAATCCCAAGCTCCTTGGATTCCTCGGAGACAGGGTCGGAAGGCATCTCGCCTTCCGCAGGGACCCGGTGGTACTATAGAGAAAATGCCGAAAACTATGATCAGTGCATTGTAACTTTGTAGTTAGATGAGCATTGTACTATTGAGAGATTGTTCGCATCCAGATGAGCGGTATACATGTAGTCTTATAGCGAGAATAACTCCCACGAATTGCGCATAAATTTTGTTTTTCCAAGCTATCGCGCGTCATCATGTGTTTCATGCAGTGAAATGCTTTATATGACCAAAGGACTAAAAGGAGGTGATATCTAGAATGGCTTTTACTAACTTTAAAAACCAATCATCTAAATCGTTACCGGATAAACACAATAAAGTCTAGTTAAGCTACGCTCCTCAAAAAGTTGTCTTCCGTTCATCCATACCTAAAAATCGAAAATTGAAAAAGAGACTTTTATTTTATAGATATATGAATTCATTTGGAGCGTGCGGGGTGTACAACGGAAAGGAAAATACAAAAGAAAATACTGTTCCCAAAAAGTCAACGAAAATACACGAAAAAATACAAAAAGAAATCGCTAATTGCCCTAGTATCTCACCGATTCATGACGGGAAATAAGAAGTCGCTGACAAACGATCCCTTGTTGCACTCATCCTGAAACAGAGCTGCGTAGTGTTTAAATGCAGGTCCGCGAGCGTGCAAAGAAAACACACCCGCAGTGCTTGAGGCAATTAAAATACGGAGACGAGACGAAGACGAAGCCACTCGGCAGGGATCAAAATTTGTTACCATGGCACAAGTAAAGATAAAATTACAGTAAAATAACAATAACAAAAGATTAAACATAATTGGATACCGAATTTAAGTGAAAATTCTGGGTGTAATGGGAGGGCAGATTTTCCTTCCGACAGCGCCTAAATGAAAAAAAAAAACAAAAGCAAAACAAAACAGACAAACAAACAAAAAAACAAAATTGAATTATTCACCTGGTCATTAAACCCTCTGTATCTCGTCTCAACTAACAAATGACCATTAATACTATTCCCTTCGCTGAGCTGCATGTACCTCACATCCGTGGGAAGACATTTTAGAATGACCTTTAAGGGCCATCCTCGTAAAGAGAGTTTTTGCCT